CGGCTGGGTCGTTGTCCGGCCGCCAAAGGCTCCTCCCCGCCCCACCCCTCCCCAGTTGCTCCGGTGACTCCGGAGGGCGCGTGGAGGCGCCCTGCAAGGAAGGCGACGTGCGGGGCATTCGTCCGCAAGGCTCCCGCGCTCTCCCACCCCGCTGCAGGCGCCGCCTGGCTCGGGAGCTGCCGCCTTCCCCGTGGTTCTGGGGGAGCGGCACAGGCTCCCCCCCGGGAAGCGGGCACTGAGCAGCATCGTGCTTGCCGGGAAGCGCGGCGGCGGCGGCGACGGGCTTCCCCACACCTCTCAAGTTGGCTGCCCCCAAAGAGAGCCGAGCGGCCAAGGGGGGCTGGGGGGGCGCACGTTTTGTGCCGCGGTTGCGTGTCTGTTCGGCGGCGCGCATTCGAGACAAAGCCGCAGCAGGTTGCAAGCAGCAATTGCGGGGCTCCGCCTGCAAGACTCGCAAATGTTTTCGGCGCAAAGCTGAATCCCTCCCTTCGCCCACTCACGGTGAGAGGCCAGAGGATGGGCCCTGGTCTGCCTACGGCGCAAGACCGACGCTGGGTTCACCGCCGCCCCGCACCAGGCTTATTGTCTTGCGAATGCCACCCAAAAAACCAGCCCCCCCCCCCCATTAAGTTCAACAGGATATGGGTTGCGCCCCTTGAGTCTTTACCTTGCAAAAAAGTCTCCTTCCTTCCTGCCAGGAATTTTGTGAGAACAATAGTGGCGTTTCCAGAATCCATGCCAGGTTCCCGAACCTACGCGGTTGATGGCAAGTAAAGTGAGGCTGCGTTTGACCTTAGAGTATAAACGCCTCTCATTATTTTATCTCCTGGGGTGAAGGACAGTTTGTAGCCAAGTGGCAAGTGAAACTCTCTATATCAAGCAGCACATAACTGGTCGTTTAATGGTCAGGGGCCCAGGTACCTTCCCACCGCCTCTCCCAGTATGCCCCTGGAAGAGCAGTACGCCTAGGGAATAAGAACCTCATGGTGGTCCCCGGCTGTCCCCAACCAGAGAACTCTCTGCAGGAACTGGCATCTGTGCCCTGTGCCATGTAGGGTTGCCAGCCTCCAGGTGGGGCCTGGGGATCTCCCACCTTTACAACTGATCTCCAGCTGACAGAGATCAGCTCCCCTGAAGAAAATGACTGCTTTGAAGGGTGGACTCTATGGCACTGTGCCATGCCGAGACCTCTCCCCTACCCAACCCCTCCCCTCTCCCCTACCCAACCCCCGCCCTCTCCTGGCTCCACCCCCAAAGTCTCCAGGTATTTTCCAACCCAGACCTGCCAACCCTACATGCAAGAGATGTTCTGCCAGGCCTTTGGTTGAGGACAGCAATGGAGCATTCTCAACCATTTCCCCATTCCTCAAAACCCCTCCCCCCATCTTATTTGTTGTTCAGTCGCACAGTTGAATCCGCGTTGCATCGATGACACTGTCTAACCATCTCATCCTTTGCCGTCCCCGTCTTCCTTGACCTTCAATCTTTCCCAGCATCAGGGTCTTCTCCAGTGAGTGCTCCCTTCTCATTTGGTGGCCAAAGTATGTGAGCTTCAGTTTCATTATCTGGCCTTCCAGGGAACAGTCAGGGTTGATTTCTTTTAGGATTGACTGATTTGATCTTCTTGCAGTCCAAGGGACTCTCAAGAGTCTTCTCCAGCACCATAGTTCAAAAGAATCTATTCTTCGGCGCTCGGCCTTCCTTATAGTCCAACTCTCGCAGCCATACATGACTACTGAAAGACTATTGAAAGAGGTAGTCAATCTTTAAAGGTACAATTGTGGTCTTAGGGTACTGTCTCAGTGATGATCTGGTTCTTATAGATCCACATGGGTCAATGCAGGGGTAATTCATGAGGACAACCAGATGGATTTCACCTAGAGAACTGGTGTTGAGTAGTGATGGGCATGAACTGGGAAAATGTGGTATGGTTCATGGTATGCCAGCTTCATGAACCATGAAACATCACAAATAAACCAGTTTCATTTGTGAGGTTTGTGACATGGTAGAACACCCCTCAGCATGATAGAGACACCAAACTCACAAGGGATATCCGGCTAACCCACCTCTACCTACATGCCAAGGTTGGTGAGGATTGAATTTATGGGGTTCGAGTTATGGCTCCCCCAAAGAAGGTGTCCCCAGGAAAGCATTTTCTGGGGAAATGACAAGCACAGGTTCATGAGGGTCAGGATTGTATAGAATGGATCCTGTGCAAATTAAAGATGCCAAACATGCAAGAGATCTCCAGATGACTCTCCTCTACTTGCCCTCCAAGTTTGATGAGGATTGGATTTATGGGGTCCAAGTTACAGCCCCCCAAAGAAGGTGCTCCTATGGAGGGAAAAACAGCAAAAAAGCAAGGACAACAGAAGCCATGCAGAACAGAATCGAAGTCCCAGAGAATCTCTGCAGTAGAAACTGAAGGTTGGAGGCATTTTTGCAAGCCCAGCAGAACCAGTGCAATGTGCCCAGCAGAACTAGTGCCACTGTGGCACTGTGAACCCAACAGGACTAAGGTCAAGTCAGGGAAGTGTTTTTTGGGGGGACATGTCAGACACAGGTTCAAAAGTATATAGAATGGACCCCCTGCAAGTTACACACACCAAATGCACAGGGAACCTCACCCTGCCACCTGCTCTTTTACAATCTCTTCAAGTTGGGGGTGGATTACATTTCTGGCGTCCCAGTTACAGACTCCCCCAAAAAGTCTCTCCAATGCTCTTTCCAGAAAAGACAGCTGCAGTTACAGGAGTCTATGGAACAGCTCAGAAATAAGACAGCAAACTCACAGGGAAAGTTCACCTGGGCAGACCCCCCCATCAGACAGTGGAACCAAGGCAAGCATCCCCCCTATGCTTGCAACCCCC